GGGATGAAAGTATAGGGGAGTGTCATGGATTGAATTGTGTCCCCCGAAAAATATGTGTATTAATTTGGCCGGGCCATGACTCCTGGTACTGTGTGATTTTCCCGTATGTTGCAAACCTGCTTATAAGATGTTACTGAGGGAGGATGGGTGGCAGTTGTGTTAGTAAGGCAGGACTGGATCTACAAGACTGGATTGTGTCCAGAGGCAATCTCTTGAGATATAAAAGACAGAAGTGAGCAGAGAGACGGGGGGCGGGGGGACCTCATACCATCAAGAAAGCAGTGCCGGGAGCAGAGTGGGTCCTTTGGATCGGGGTCTGTGTGCAGAGAAGCCCCTAGTCCGGGGGAACACAGAAGAGAAGAAGGCTGACAGAGAGGAAAAGCTTTCCCCTGCAGCTGACGCCCTGAATTTGGACTTTTAGCCCACTTTAACTGTGAGGAAATAAACTTATCTTGGTTAAAACCATCCACTTGTGGTGTTTCTGTTATAGCAGCACTAGACGACTAAGACAGGGAGTGATAGCTAAAGACTATAGGATTTCTTTTTTTTTTTTAAGTCTTAATTTCAGAGTTTTACTGTATTGCACTAAAGCAATACCAGGATGGTTATACAACATTCTCTCTCATTCAGTTTTGAAAATCTAAGGTACTTATAAATTGTCAAGAATACTTTTACCACCAAATTAGAACAGTGTAATAACCAATTTCTTAATAAATGATGTTTTGTAACTAAAAACACATTTAAAATAGCTTTAAATGCATCCTTCACAAGTAATTAGTATATTTTATATCATGTTCATTTATGCTTAAGAATTAAAGCAAGTATATTACTCTGATGGAAATACGGGAAATCTCTCATTCATGCAATATGCAGAGATAGTATTCAAGTTGAAGGCGAAGAAAATCCCACTCTTCCTGTTTTGTAAAGGTATCCATATATAATCATCTGTATGATAGTTGAGGGAATCCATGAGGTTTCCCACAGGTTAAATATACATGTTCTGTCAACCGCACCTGTTGTCTACAGCTAATTTATAACTAGATGGCATTTCAATAAAACCAAAATGAGCCATTCCAGTTCAGGATTTCTTTTTGAGGTGATGAAAATATTCTAAAATTGACTGTGGTGATGGTTGCAGATATATATTAATATATTAAAAACATTTAACTGTACACTTTAAATGGATGAATTGTATAATATGTGAATAAGATCTCAATGAAACTGTTAAAAAAAAACAGAAAAGGAATGTTTAGACTGGACAATTTCTACTCTTCTGTCTTGAAGTTCGTTGATTCTTTCCTCTGTCCCTCCATTTTGCTGTTGAGCTAATCTGCTGAGGTTTTAATTGTGATTATTGTATTTCTCAATTCCAAAATTTTCCATATGGTTCTTCTTTAAATTTTTTATTTCTTTGCTGGGGTTCTCTATTTCTTTTATTTATTTCAAACATGTTTGTAATTACTCATTAAAGAATTTTTATATGGCTTATTTAAAATCTTTGTCAGATAATTCTAGCATCTCTGTCATCTCAGTGTTTGCATTGATTGCTTATCTTTTTTCATTCAGTTTGAGATCTTCCTATTTATTGGCATGACAAGTGATTTTCGATTGACACTTCGCAATTTGGGGAATTATGTTATTATTTTATTTAAACCTTCTATTTTAGCTGGCTTCTTCTGACATAGCTCTGCAAGGGAAGTGGTAGAGGATGGGGTGCTACCTTGTTACTATCAAGTGGGATTAGAAGTCTAGCTTCCCCACTTGGCCTCTGTTGTGGATTGAGTTGTGTCCCCCAAAAATGTGTGTCCACTTTGCTAGTTCATGATTCCCAGTATTGTGTGGTTGGTCACCGTTTTGTTGTCTGATATGATTTTCCTACGTTATAAATCCTACCTCTTTGATGTTAATGAGGTGGGATTAGTAGCAGTTATGTTAATGAGGCAGGACTCAATCTACAAGATTAGGTTGTGTCTTAAATCAATCTCTTTTGAGATATAAAAGAGAGAATCGAGCAGAGAGACATGGGGACCTCATACTATCAAGAAACAAGAGCCAGGAGAATAGTGCATCATTTGGACCTGGGGTCCCTGAACT